AAAATATAAAACATTTCTGCCTATTGATATACAAGTGCTATAGTAATCACCACAAGTTTGATATACTGTATAAAGTTCATTATTTGGGAAACTATATAGACAAAGCAGATTACATGTGCAATAATCTTTTTAAATGTATCAATTTCAATGTGGTATTTAAAAAAAAACATTATTTATGACCGACTGACCCTGATTTCATGATATGAAACCGGAACCACAGGTATTTTTTAGGCCTAAGTATACCTAATAGATGTAAGTAATAAAAATGTTGTCCTTTAATTATCAAGACACATGAATATGAGCAAATAATTATGTTGACTGTTTTGTGCATAAAACTCTGCTCTTGATGACGAATAAAATCGTCTGGCGTTACAGAGTAAAATAATCTGACAGAGTACAATAATAAAGTTGGGTGTATCAGGGTGCAATGCAACTCTATGGGTTAAACTTTGTTGCCCTACATTTCATGCAACAGACCAAATTGCAGTCCACTCAGTTCAATTATCATTATTTTATATAGCCTCTATACAAACTCAGGGCAATTTGGGCACATAATTTCTACATATTATTACTGTTTGATTTCAGTATGTCTTATGCCCTGATATTATGTCAGAATTGGTAGGAAAATGCCAATTTTACTTGTCAAAAGAATATAAAAATATCGGTTTGAAGTTCCCAGCACACTGTCAGTCGGTCACTGTTTATTTACTATTTTTCACATTCTGACATTAATATTAAAATTCATGCCATCCTGAAATGCTATTCATTTAAATTGTTAACATTGAAGAACTCACCAACATAATTTAAACTGGCTGTCTGTCATATACATTGGCAAATACCATTGACAAGTACCCAGTGCAAACATTCAGTTAGTCGCCATTTTGAATTTTACTGTGAAAGTAAATTTTGACGGGAAATATTCGTCAGGCCGCTTTATTTAGGCATAATTAAGTGTTGGCGCGAATTTTGAAAATGAACTGTTTTTGTAGGATTGCGATCGCTATCGCGACGTGATTTTCCAGTCTTGAAAAGCAACTAAAACCAAAGAAATTTCAAAACTTTACGCTATAAAAACAAAATGTTATAGTCGGCTATGGCGCTATTAAATATTTGCAAAATTTGAACGAGGGTCAATGTTATCTACGGCGACAGAAGTAACTAATGCAACGCTGTCCGGAATCGCGTTTTGTCCACAGGGCATATAGGCATAGCTACCGTTAGTTAATTCAATTTTGCTATGTAACATTTAAACATTTACAAACCTTCTTTGATAGCATATTCTCTCATAACCATCTCGTAAAATGCGCTGTCTTGCTCTTTCGGATTTCTTGTCAGCTTTTCGACTTTCCTCGCTCGTTTTTCAGCCAATTCATCGGGAAGAGGCTCGACCTCAACAGGAACTTGTGCAGTGCCAGCGTGTTTACGCTTTCCCAATGGCAATGTAGTATTACCGGGCAAGATATTTGTCGGGGGTGAAACGGTATCTCGGACAAGCAAAAGTGGACTTTCGGCAACATTAATCTCTTCAACACTAGACTCATTTATACTGTCCTTTTCACTGAGGGTGGGTTCGGCTTCATTAGGGCTATCGACCGTCACTGCATTTGCGTTGTCCTCGTTTGCCAACACGCTCACGGCAGAGACGTCTTTAACCGCGTTGCCTTCTCTGAGACTGTTGAACTTGGCAGCAAAGCGTTCCTTCGATTGAACATACGGTTCAAATGCTCGTGAATAATCGTTGCCGGTAAAATCGAATGTTGTAATAGTAAACATTAGTGGTTTGTCCTTGTCGCGAAATTGAAGCTAAGAATTAAAAATAAAAAACACATGGTAAATTGATTATTTTTCGAAGCATTGATACATTGTTACCCGGCCTACTTACTTTGAGTTGGTCATTTTTGGAGGAACTTGGTGTGATATGAATTACTTCCTTGAGTTCATTACCATTGCTTTTCACGAGACCATTTCTTTGCTGGACAAATGCTTTTGATTCCTTAGATGTAAACCACCATTTCCCTCGATCAAACCGTTCCGCATTGGTCTTCATATTCATACTCGTTCGACTTGCAGTAGGTATGACAAATATATGACAGAGACACAAATTTATTTGCCAGCTATATGACAAACCCACATCCGACGCATAATCTAACTTGATGCAATTTGACGCCCATAAATCATACTGGATGATCACTAATCAATGCAAAATATGCCGGTGTTCATAATAGGTACCTGTATCGTGTTATTCATGTTAGTATAGAACTGCAGTTTTTTATAAATGCTACTCAGTCGCGCATATAGATTTTGGGATTGGGAAAAATAATGTGGCATTTATACACCGTTTTCTTGAAGCAATGTGTAGCTTTTTTAAAATAACATTTCTCACAGATTCAAAAAATGCGCAACAGGCCGGATGTCACACCACTATATAGCTTGTGTTTTATACTACAATAGCTTTATACTAGGATTAACTCACAATCGTTCTAAAGTTTGCAAAAACATTTTGGTTTGGCTTGAGCAATGTTTTTTTGTCAAGAACATTTCTCAATTGCACCTTTAGCCTTTATACCTGCTTTATTTTGAAAAATCGAAACAACGAATTTTTCATTGCAGTAACATTGTCAAAATATTATGGAAGTTTTTCATATCGCGTAAAGTGCGTGAAACGCGCATACGTTTGCTTATTTGGTTCAAAAGTGCTCATACAACATTATGATGCCGAGAAGATTATCTAAATCCTGACCTTATTATAGTTTTTTTTTGTGATTCTTGAAACCACGATATGTTACCCTCGACATTTAGCAGTCAATATTTTACCCTCGACATTTTATCCTCGCCCTCAACATTTTACTCTCGACCCTCGACCAATAAAAGGCCGCAACTTTTCATGTTGCATTTTACATTTAATACTATACAAGCTAGGAAATGGAAAATGTAGTTTATACTGTCTGCATTCTGCAGCTATTCACCATGCAGTTCATTTGTAAACGATCAAGCGACAGTATTTATCGAAAAGTGCGAAATTTATTGTGTGATATTCATTGAAATGTGATTATGTTGGTGATGACATCATCTTGAAGGAATGTGTCACGTGCTGGAGTAAGCCAATCGCATTCCTTCAATGTTTATTTAAAATATAAGTTTATACCGTTGGAAAGTGTTGCAGGCTTGTAGCAGCGCATATTATTATTATTCGATATTTTATACCACAAGTTTTTACCATATGTGCGTTGGCTAAGTTTGTGGTTTCTCATGGAGTCAGAGGAGTTCAATACGAGTGAATTGGAAGAACCTGATTTCAGTTCCGAGGTAGAAAGCTGTATCTCACCTTTGAGTTTGACGGTTGATAATGCCGCATCACCTTGTAGTTACAACACGAGCGAGTTAGATGTAGACGATTCGACTGCCCGTTTTACTTTCTCGAGTACATCGCTCAAAAGCGACTGTTCGCTGGACGATTACAATCAGTTGTCGCTGGCAAATGGTTTTTGTGACTCACCTGTTGGACATTCAACTGTAGTTGAAACATGCGCCGATCTCGATAGTTCTCTGGGATGCTATCCGATTAGTTACTCGAGCGACGAAAGTCGGGATGAGAATGGTAAGCGATAAATTTTTAACCCCAAATAATCATTTATATATATTTATTATATAAAGTATAGTGCTTTATAGAGATTTCGAGCACTGATAAAAGTGATATCTCACATGTGAGATTATTCATGATAATCTCACATGTGAAAATTATCGCTTTTCAAATATCGCTTTTCTGTAAAAATTATCGCTTTTCAAAGACTGTCCTTTATATAATAAACAGAAAAATACACGGGTGCTTGGAAATACCAGATTTATTTCTCGTGTTGAACATGATAACATTGTGAGATATCATGTTCAACACGAGAAATAAATCTGGTATTTCCGCGCACCCATGTATTATTCTCTCTCTCTCTATATATATATATATCGTGACCTTTCGAACACTGGATAAAATATAAATTGTAGTATTTGTTTGTTATGAATTATTGATTATTTGTAACGCAAAGTTTGTGGATCAAGCAATATGGTTTTCAGTTTTTCACTGAAGTCATACAACTTGACCAATCTGCTGTTGTCGACCCCCCCCCCTCCCATTTAATATAGTTTATAAGGATATATTTAATGCCAGTATAACCTAGGCACATTCAACATGAACTGAACTGACAGTACATACAGCCTGTGAGTCAGGATTATTAATTAACCAAAAAAATCATAGGCAATAGCCCCTGGGTACTATAAACTTCCAAACCGGGTTCGATTCCTACCACGGTTAAGCAAACTTTTCAGCTGTGGCTGGATGGGGAGAATATATATACATTCTTCTAAATGGGACAAGGGTTCTTTTCTATAAGGAAACCCATTTGAAATTTGATCATTTTGACAAGTGAGAAAGTAAGCTGTCCTGGAGTGACATATTTGGCATATTTATCAGTTATAGAAGCCTTTCACTTGCAGGGTATTATACTGAACCTTGTATCGGTAGGGCTTGTACTTGCACTTGTAATAACTTTTAAATTTAAAACACAATTTGTGGTATTTGATAAAAATTCCTATGATCATGTGGTACAAGCATGAGAAAAGCCAGTGTGATCTAGGGCTAGGCACATTGAACATGAACTGGCAGTTATACATGCATCCTGTGGGTCAAGATTATTGACCAAATAAATCATAGACAATACTACAATAGCCCCTGGGTACTTTATACCTCCAAACCAGGTTTAATTCCCACTGCGGTCAAGCAAACTTTTCAGCTTGCCCGGTGTGGACACACTCACAATGTGGACGGGCTGCTCATGCAGTGTGCTAAAATTGGCGTCTTTTTTTAGGCCTTAACTTTGCGCTTTACCATACCTACACCACTGCAGAGTCAACTAGACAATGAATACCATAATACTGTATATTGTGTCTTTTGAAACAGGGACAATTACTGCATATAAGAGAGTTTAAGTTCGACTACCAATACCGATACCAATGTTTTCACTTCCGTTCTCATTGTGGTACCTGGAATTTTAAAGCGTTAAGTTATCATGTACAACAGATAAAGTATAGAACACATTAGTCGTCACCGAAAATGTGCAGTATACTAAAAGGCAGCTGAGCTAAAATTCCGACTAAAACATGACTCAGGTGATGCTAAAAAAAATAGTTTACATGTTTATCGTAAAAATTATGAAATATCTGATTTATATGAGTTCATCTTACCATTCCCCTGACTTCCAATACAAAGCCGACTTCGGTAGTGGTATACTCCAATACACTTGTCCTGAGCTCGTGCTTCTTGTGAGCAGAGAGCATGCGCATGGCATGTTGTTAGTATTGGTATTGGTATTAGTATTAGAAGTCAAACTTAAACTCTCTATTATCCAGTATTCCAGGGCTTTATCCAAATACAGGCAAGCACTTTTGCTGCCCCCGTTTTAGAAAAGAAGATTCAGTTTTTGTGACGCAGGAATGTAGCGAAGGGGCAAAGTCCATGAAAGATTTTGCTATTTCCACATCTTAGACTATGTTGCCGCTTTGTTGCTCGGATGTAACCGTGTGGTTTGTGAATGTAAATATTGCACGCAATATGCATCGATGTACTCATATTCAAGCTTATTTTTTCTGCGGCTTTTTCACTCTTCCAGTTCAAGGTTGTGTAAATTTTAGATTTTAGTTGATCAGAAAATTTATTCTTCAATATTTCCATTTCATTGGTGCTTGGATAAAGCCCAGGTATCCAATATAATTTTCTCTTCAGGACTGGTATCCAGAGACTCAACTTTCTGGTTGCCATTGATCTGGTACTATCCGGCAAATACAAATGTCTATTGTGATAGTGCTTAAATTTAAGATATTGGGAGACCATGTGAGATGTTGTTTTCCTAATCTATAGTATAGCCAGTAGTTTTGTGAAATGAAATTAGATGAAGTGGGTAGACGTAGTGTAACTGGATGTGGAGAATACACATTCTTCTCAATGGGACCAGGGTTAACTTGTCATGGAGTGACATTGGCATATTTATCAGTTATTAATGGCCTTTCACTCCGGGGTATTATACTGTACCTATAATTATAACTTTTAAATTTAAACACAATTTAAACACAATTTAAACTTTTAAATTTAAACACAATTTCATAAAAATTCCTATGATCATGTGGTTCAATCCTGATCAAATTATTATGCTGCAGTATTATAAAGTATTATAATATGTATTTGAAAAAAGATATGGAACGTGTAAATTTATGTCTGACTAAGTGGTATTCTGTTGTGACTGTGGTACATGTACACCTTATTTGTTAATTGCCTTATTGCTCTACTCTATAGATCAAGAATGTGCAAGTGTAGATGTAGAGAGGCCATTTAAAGGTATGGTTTTCTTTGTTCACCTTTGTCCAAGCAAACATTTACATGTGACTGCTGACAGTATCAAACAAGTACTTTGTCAGAAAGGCGCCAGTATTAGTTTGTTTTTCTGTCGAGATGTCACACATTTGTTGACTAATGTCAGTGTTCTGCAAAAGGAAGAAGACTTAAAGTTTCCTAAGAGGCTTCCACAAAATACACGCTCAATGTCGATGATAAAAATGAGTCACAGAAAAATTGAAACACAAAACATAATATGTAGTTCAAATTGTATAGTGCAAGCACAACTACTTGGGATAGAAATTGTAACTGTAGCTGACTTGTTTGGAGATATGTTTGGTGTGAAGAAAGAATCTATAACTAAACTAAATAAGTGCCAGCCTGTGATAAAGGAGACATATATTAAACAATGGCTGAAAAAGATAAAAACATATTAGATTATGTAATTATACATTTATTAAATAAAATGTGTAAAATTAGAACTTTCATGTACTGGTATTGTACAGTAGGTGAATTCTGTTATAATAATGTTGGATATGGCATTGCTTTTCCCTGTACAGTATGCTGCATACTGGGTATATTCAGGAAAGTATGGTACCCAGAAAGATAGTACCTACAGTACTGTAGTTGAAAAACTTCCTAGTGCACTGATATTAGTAAAATGAAGGACGAAAGTCGGTATAAGTTTAATTGATCATACTGTAGAATATATTTTGATTATTGCATTGGGGAACTACGGACATTGATACGGAAAGCCTTGTTCACAAAGTGACAAAATTCACTTATAATTGTCATACCAATTTGTAATTAAAAATGTAAATCCATCATTACTATCTGTTATTTATAATATATGTAGGTGGAATTGTCACTCTTTGACACTCTTATATATTCAGTGGCGGACACTTCGCAAAATAGTGGTGGGGGAATTAGTTTACCAACATATAACCTCCTTTTGTAGCTAGCAATCTTAGACGCTGTTTATAACTTTATATGTTCTCCGGTACTATGGACCCCCCCCCCCCCTAAAGACAACTTTACAGCATGTTTACATGTATACAGTATGTGAACATTTAAAGCCCTGGCACTGTATCCCCTCCTTTAGGTACGAGATCGTGACTCCTATTTTTCCCTCTCCCAAGGTAGCTTGTGGGGTAGGGTGTCCCTAGTACCCAAGACCATATAAACAGCGTCTTAGTTGAGTTCTTTCAACTCTTTTGCCCTAAATATGCAATGGACAGTACAAATATATGGCTTAATATATGGCAAATACAAATATATATACAAATATATGGCAAAAGTGGTTTGACTAGTTATAATGGTTTGACTAGTTATGTGTATATGTATCTATACTCTGGTAACTTATGTGTATTCTAGAGATTGGAATGTTATCTTATAGAGAAAGTAACGCATATCTCAAATCAATAGCTGAAGGTATGGGCATGAATTAAGTATGTGTTTTTAGTTTACATCCTGGCCTAGTTGGTTTTACATCCAAAATTAATTGATTCTGTGTTCTTATTTTATTTAGTACGCACAATAGAATGTTGTAATGAGAAATGTATACTAAAAATTGAATTTGCCCAGTTGATATTGGCAAGGCAATCATTTCAGCAACTTTCAAGCAAGGGGAAAAAGCAGTGGATACTGGAATATTTAACTCAACACGATAAGCAAGGGTATGTTTGAAGCATGAGTACAACCAACCAAACGAATATGGGTTATTTGTGTTAATTTATTTTTCAGGTGTTTACTTATTATTTACAACCCTTAATTCTTAAACAGGCAAGACAGGGGGTCATCCAATCCGTCAAATATGGTGTCCGATTGATAAACCAGTGAGAGCATCTGTCTCTCTGACCAATGCAATAAAAACGAAAATCACTTAATTAGCTATATAGAGATCGAGCCTTCTTTTCTGTACACGTTAACATGTTTATTTCCTTAAGGAAAGCATCATCTGTTCTATTTGTTGTACGTGGATACTCTGTTTGCAAAACTGCTTGGACTCTAATATATGGCATTGAGAGGAAGATGTTTCACAACATGATCACATTGCATAGGTCAGGGAAATGTGAGATAGCAACCCCATACAAGAAGAGAAGAAAAACAAAGACATTCATTGCAAAGGTGTGGATGGAATCTACATTTGCCAAAATTGGTGACAAGATGCCCGATAACGTCCGAATACATTTGCCATGCTATTTGGACTTCACAATATTGTATCAGTACATGCTTGCTGATTTGACATCAGTTGGGGATGAAGTCGTTTGCTATTCGCAGTTCTGCAAAATGATGAAAGACGATTTTAAAGATGTTTCAATACCAAAGGTACCTATTACAAATTCCGTAAAGACATATTCATAAGTTACGTTTACTAACATTTCAAGTTTCTGTAAAGACATATTCATTGAAGTTACGTTTACTAACATTTCAAGTATGATTTTTGTGCATTTCCCCTCGATACGTATAACTAGTTGGAATTTAATCTATGCCCCTGCGAGTCCAGTGCAGTGCTCTCAGCACTGAGCTACAGACTGACTCATTTGCCGTGAAATGTAGGCATGAGGTTTTCGGATGTTTCTCCGGTTTGGTCTTCCAATCGTATATATTACCTTTATCCTCATCTTATACTAACATTTCAAGTGCCTGAGTGTATACTCTTTATTTGTACTTGTATACAGCTATTTCAATTAAGGTTGTCCCCGAGTAAAGCGGAAAAGTCTAATACGAGCGCGAAGTCGCGAAAGGCTTGCTGGGAATCGCGAAAAGTCATTAGCTATTCCCAGCAAGTCTTTCGCGCCCGTGTTCGACTTTTCTGCTTTGCTCGGGGACAACCTTAATTGAAATGGCTGTACTACGTGTCATTAATAGAAAATTAGTCAACCATATTATTTTATTTTGCTCATATGATAATACTGGATACATGCTGAAGTTTATTGGTCCAATCCTAGGACTGGGTGAAAATTAATTCAGTCCCTGGACTGGATCAAAATTAATTCACCTCACTTTATGTAGGGATTCACTCGTTTGAGATGTTAATCCAAATCCTTCAGTGGACCAAACCCATATTAATCAAAAATTTTAACTCAACAAGTCCCGACAAAATTTTCATCACAGCTTGAAAGAGCATCACAAAATTAGCAATATTCCAAAGTTTCGTTGCGAAATAAAATTACAAACTTAACTGAAAATTACAAACTTCGCAAGGCTATATTATCCGCACTTTACAACTTTTCGCAACGAAACTTTGGAATATTACTAATTTGGTGATGCTCTTTCAAACTCTGATGAAATTTTTGTTTAGGCTAGTTCGGATCAAAATTTTAGAAAAGTGGTACCGTTTCCCGCTCGTAATACAAAATTACTGAAAATTGCAAATTTCGCAAGGCTACAGTATATTATCCGCATTGAAGTGTTGGAGTGTTGAAGTATTCTTTCTTACTATTTAATTTTACATTTTACTGCTTTTGCTGTACTGTAGGCAACTCGTCTTACAAAATGTGACATTTGTATAATGCTTAAAGAAGAAAAGCAAAAAACCATGGATAAAGTGGCAAGGAACTACTACGACATGCTGTATTCTCAGCATAATCAACTTCAACGGTATGAACACTATAATTATAAACTACATACTGTAAATATCAAATTTCAGTGTGAACAAAAAGAACATTATGGCAAACATCCGATAGATTCACATGTTTTATAAACATGGAAATAGTCGTTCGTCCTGATATTATGTGTGGGTCATTGAAGTTGTGAGATAAGGCCATTCAGAAATACATAAACCCAGATTTAGCGCTAACCGAACTTCCAAGCTTTGAACAACAATCCTGGATGTTAAAAACTCGCATCACTACAGTATATACACGAGTGCAATGTGCATCCAACACAGAAACACCCTGTTACAGTACGTCGCAGTGTAAAAAAACTCTCTTCCTCTTATTTTTCATTGCAGGGAAGAGAGGGAAAAATACTATCACCATCGTCAGAAAGCGAAATCAAAACCCGACAAGGTCACTTGTGTGATAATTGATGGTATGGATCAAATGAAATTATTAATTCCTAAAATGCTCAATCAAGCCAAAGCATACGCAAGTGCTTGGAGACTGAAAACACATCTTACAGGTAATTATGACTTTTTGTTTTTCGCTGGAATTTTCCGGGCATTGCCCTGGGTCTTCATCAGGGTTAATAGTATTGTTTGCAAAGATGAAGATTTGGGTTTGGATATCTAATATTTTGTCAAATATACAGAGGGTGCATTTGCAGAGCAAAAACCATGCTATAAAGCGATGATAAACCTGTATTTCTAGGCCTGTCTTTGCCTCATTCGGTAATATAGATTGGCTGGTTGAACTAGTCAGCCAACTAGTGATTAGAAAACTAGAAAACAGCCTGTCAATGGCAGACCTAAGGCTTTTAATGTAAACACAGTTTATATGCAAAAGTTTAACTATAGCATCGTGAACTTATATCTAATATCCTACAGGTGTTATCAATCATGGCAGAGAAGCTCTTGGCTATTTCGATCTCAACCAGTGGCCGCATGACAGTAACCTTACTTTAAATGTTTTGTTGCATGTTATTTTGAGAATGAACCCAATCCCGGATAAACTTTATCTTCAAATGGACAACTGCTGGAGGGAGAATAAAAATCAATTTGTCCTTACGTTTCTTGGTGTTCTAGTTCAGTTGGACATCTTTAAAAAGGTGCTGCTTTTTGTTGAAAAAAATTGCATTTAGACCGAGATTCTTTGAGAACATACATGGAATATAATTTGATATATACATGGAATATATACTGATAATTGTTTTATCACGATAGGTTAAGATCAATTTTCTAATGAAGGGGCACACCCATGAAGACTGCGATCAGTTATTCAGTCGCTATGGTACAAAACTTTCCAGCAATAATGTTGTAACCGTAGAAGGTATGTGTATTGAATGTATGCTTTGACGGCGTTAGGTGTGTTATGACTATAATATCTTTTTAGCCTTACCAATTCAGGATTTTTTGTTATCTAGACATGATGACCATGTTTGAGGAATCGTACAGCCCTTCACCGATTGCATGCTTATTGAACCAGATGTTTGATATAAGGGAATGGCTGACACCAGTGAATGCCCAATTGCACAATATATCTAACCCTCATGTTTTTGTAATTGAAAAGAATACAGCGAACATTGTTGTGCTAAGGTATAAGAATTGGAGCAGAGATCTCGAGTGGAAACCACATAATGATCCAGCCAACGGAATTCCTATCCTTACCCCGGTATGTCGTTTACGAAATAATGTAACTCATTCTTATTACGGGTCTGCATTAAGAAAAACAGTCGTTTTGTTTGCATTGTTTGATTTGTCAAAGCATGCAAGAGCACAACCTTAGCTATATGGAACCTCGCTTTTGTAATTCACATACTTTGTCTAGAGCTACAGGTCATTTACGGAAGCAAGGCCCTATAGTCACGGGCCTCACGGCTGAATACTTTCCGATAAAACGATTTTCCAAGGAATATATTTGTATTGTGTCAGGGAAGATTTTGCTGACTGCGAACTTCGTTTTTTGTAATTTAGAATGTGGATGTACCAATTACAGTTCCCAACCTCGTGCCGTCATCGCCTGACAAAGTCGATTTGCAACGTTTGGAACGAGACATCCCCAAGTTTCTGGATAATTCCAGGGTAATAACACAGGAGCAGCGTGAGTGGTGGCACCGCTGGTTTTCGAATTCACAAAAGGTCTACGGACCAGCGCCACCTAAACCTAATACATGGTTACTGAATGACTTGAAGCAGAAGAAAGCCAACTGCATCATCACCAATGACCAGGAGACAAGAAATGAAGAAGACGGAAACGAAATTCCATCAGGTGTTCCTGACGATGTGCCGAAGATTGTGGCAGCTCAATGTGGAGAAATTCCAGAGGTATATAAAATGTAGAAAATTTAAATTAACCCAAAACGGAAGAATCGTGTTGTATTCTTCCTATAATTAACTCGGCTATTTTTTTATATTTTAGGTCTATGTTGGATCATACCGCAAAAGAACAACAGTTACTACTGTAGACAATGTATGGGACCATGTTCTCGTCGAGTCGCTTGTTGCGGTTAACCTGGAAAACTACAATAAAGTTCCTGTCATTGGGAAAGTTTTGGAAAAAAAGGACAATGAATTTACAATTCATTATTGGAAGGGTTCGTGGAACAAAAAATGGGAACCATGGCTTCACAGTGAACGACCTTGGACAGATGTACTTCCAAAAGAATGTGTTTACCTGGCTGCTTTTACTCTTAATGAAGGTGACAAACTTTCTGCGGACACAAAAAGGCAAATGAGATTGTTTTTGAATGGTGGACAAAACCAGTAAGATCGCAAAAATTGTTGCATGCATAAACAATATTCATTTGATAATAATGAGAAGTACTTGGCCCGATATCTTCAAGCCAAATACTTAATATTGTAAGCATGCAGCTTTCGCCTTTTGGCCTTTGGCTTGAATTTAGCAAAAGCTTTCAATTGGCTTGAATTTACCAAAAGCTGCTTACAATTTTAAGTTTTTGTCTCAAAATATCCAGGCCAAAACTTTCCATTACATTGCGATAATTTGCAAATACATGCATGTAAGAAAGTTATGGGAATTTTGTCCTGAATTTATCCAAGCCAAAACATGGCAACGATAGTCAATACTCTACAATTTCTCACGAAATTTCCTAAAAAAAATAAATCACCCTCTTGGTTTTAAGTACTTGGTTGGCTTACATGTATATCCAGGCCAAAGTTATGGAAATCTTGTGCTGAATTTATCCAATCCAAAACATGCAAACAATACTCTAGATAGTCTTGAATAAATTCAAGCCAAACCGGTGATTTCTTATGATCTTTCAGGCGAAATTGTAGAGTATTACTAGTGTGTAGAGTATTGTAATGGAAAGTTTTGGCCTGGATAGTAAGCAGCATTTATCGTTTTAGTTCAAGCCAAGCGAGTGAATTTTTAGGATATTTCGTGCGAAATTGTATAGTATTGTTGCCATGTTATGGCTTGGATAAGTTCAGGACAAAATTCCCATAACATTTTTACCTGTATTTGCGAATTATCGCATTGTAATGGAAGTTTTGGCCAGGATATTTTCAAGCCAAATACGTAAAGCCAAGCGAGTGATTTTTCAGGATATTTCGTGCGAAATTGTAGAGTATTGTTGCCATGATTTGGCTTGGATATATTTTCAAGCCAAATACATAAAACCAAGCGAGTGATTTTTTAGGATATTTCGTGCGAAATTGTAGAGTGTTGTTGCCATGATTTGGCTTGGATAAATTCAAGACAAAATTCCCATAACATTTTTACCTGTATTTGCGAATTATCGCATTGTAATGGAAAGTTTTGGCCTGGATATTTCCAAGCCAAATACGTAAAACCAAGCGAGTGATTTTTTAGGATATATCGTGCGAAATTGTAGCGCATTGTTGCCATGTTTTGGCTTGGATAAATTCAGGACAAAATTCCCATAACATTTTTACATGTATTTGCGAATTATCGCACTGTCATGGAAAGTTTTGGCCTGGATATTTTCAAGCCAAATACGTAAAACCAAGCAAGTGATTTTTTAGGATATTTCGTGCGAAATTGTAGAGTATTGTTGCCATGTTTTGGCTTGGATAAATTCAGGACAAACTTCCCATAACATGTTTACATGTATTTGCGAATTATCGCATTGTCATGGAAAGTTTTGGCCTGGATATTTTCAAGCCAAATACGTAAAACCAAGCAAGTGATTTTTTAGGATATTTCGTGCGAAATTGTAGAGTATTGTTGCCATGTTTTGGCTTGGATAAATTCAGGACAAAATTCCCATAACATTTTTACATGTATTTGCGAATTATCGCATTGTCATGGAAAGTTTTGGCCTGGATATTTTCAAGCCAAATACGTAAAACGTATTGTTGCCAAGCGGGTGATTTTTTAGGATGTTTCGTGCGAAATTGTAGCGTATTGTTGCCATGTTTTGGCTTGGATAAATTCAGGACAAAATTCCCATAACATTTTTACATGTATTTGCAAATTATCGCATTGTCATGGAAAGTTTTGGCCTGGATATTTTCGAGCCAAATATTTAAAATTGTAAGCAGCTTTTGCCGTTTTGCATTTTGGCTTGAATTTATTCAAACCAAACGGGAGATTTTTTAGGATATTTCGTGCGAAATTGTAGAGTATTGTTGCCATGTTTTGGCTTGGATAAATTCAGGACAAAATTCCCATAACATTTTTACATGTATTTGCGAATTATCGCACTGTCATGGAAAGTTTTGGCCTGGATATTTTCAAGCCAAATACGTAAAACCAAGCAAGTGATTTTTTAGGATATTTCGTGCGAAATTGTAGAGTATTGTTGCCATGTTTTGGCTTGAATAAATTCAGGACAAAATTCCCATAACATGTTTACATGTATTTGCGAATTATCGCATTGTCATGGAAAGTTTTGGCCTGGATATTTTCAAGCCAAATACGTAAAACCAAGCAAGTGATTTTTTAGGATATTTCGTGCGAAATTGTAGAGTATTGTTGCCATGTTTTGGCTTGGATAAATTCAGGACAAAACTCCCATAACATTTTTACCTGTATTTGCGAATTATCGCATTTTAATGGAAAGTTTTGGCCTGGATATTTTCAAGCCAAATACGTAAAACCAAGCGAGTGATTTTTTAGGATATTTCGTGCGAAATTGTAGAGTGTTGTTGCCATGATTTGGCTTGGATAAATTCAGGACAAAATTCCCATAACATTTTTACCTGTATTTGCGAATTATCGCATTGTAATGGAAAGTTTTGGCCTGGATATTTCCAAGCCAAATACGTAAAACCAAGCGAGTGATTTTTTAGGATATTTCGTGCGAAATTGTAGAGTATTGTTGCCATGTTTTGGCTTGGATAAATTCAGGACAAAATTCCCATAACATTTTTACATGTATTTGCGAATTATCGCATTGTCATGGAAAGTTTTGGCCTGGATATTTTCAAGCCAAATACGTAAAACCAAGCAAGTGATTTTTTAGGATATTTCGTGCGAAATTGTAGAGTATTGTTGCCATGTTTTGGCTTGGATAAATTCAGGACAAAATTCCCATAACATTTTTACATGTATTTGCGAATTATCGCATTGTCATGGAAAGTTTTGGCCTGGATATTTTCAAGCCAAATACGTAAAACCAAGCAAGTGATTTTTTAGGATATTTCGTGCGAAATTGTAGAGTATTGTTGCCATGTTTTGGCTTGGATAAATTCAGGACAAAATTCCCATAACATTTTTACATGTATTTGCGAATTATCGCATTGTCATGGAAAGTTTTGGCCTGGATATTTTCAAGCCAAATACGTAAAACCAAGCGGGTGATTTTTTAGGATGTTTCGTGCGAAATTGTAGCGTATTGTTGCCATGTTTTGGCTTGGATAAATTCAGGACAAAATTCCCATAACATTTTTACATGTATTTGCGAATTATCGCATTGTCATGGAAAGTTTTGGCCTGGATATTTTCAAGCCAAATACGTAAAACCAAGCGGGTGATTTTTTAGGATGTTTCGTGCGAAATTGTAGCGTATTGTTGCCATGTTTTGGCTTGGATAAATTCAAGACAAAATTCCCATAACATTTTTACCTGTATTTGCGAATTATCGCATTGTCATGGAAAGTTTTGGCCTGGATATTTTCGAGCCAGATATTTAAAATTGTAAGCAGCTTTTGCCGTTTTGCATTTTGGCTTGAATTTATTCAAACCAAACGGGTGATTTTTTAGGATATTTCGTGCGAAATTGTAGAGTATTGTTGCCATGTTTTGGCTTGGATAAATTCAGGACAAAATTCCCATAACATTTTTACCTGTATTTGCGAATTATCGCATTGTAATGGAAGTTTTGGCCTGGATATTTTCGAGCCAAATATTTAAAATTGTAAGCAGCTTTTGCCGCTTTGCATTTTGGCTTGAATTTATTCAAACCAAGCGGGTGAATTTTTAAGATATTTCATGCGAAATTGTAGAATTTTGTTGCCGTGTTTTGGCTTGGATAAATTCAGGGCAAGACTCCAATAGCTTTTTTGCCTGTAATTGGAAATTATCGCATTGTAATTGAAATTTTTGGCCTGGATATTTTCAAGCCAAGTATTCTTCAAATTGTCATTGACATTGTAAGCAGCTTTTATCGCGTTTTGGCTTAAGCCAAGCGGGTGATTTTTTAGGATATTTCGTGCGAAATTGTACAGTTTTGTTACCATGTTTTGGGTTGGATAAATTGAAGACGAGATTCCTATAACTTTTTTACCTGTATTTGCAAATTATCGCATTGTAATGGAAAGTTTCGGCCTGGATATTTGCTAGCCAAATATATTTCACATTGACATTGTAAGCAGCTTTTATCGTCTTGGCTCGTTTTGTTGAGTATTGTTGCCATGTTTTGGCTTGGATAAATTCAGGACAAGATTGCTATATCTATTTTTTAAATATAGTCGTAACGTATCTGCAAATTTTTGCATTGTTGTGTTGTGCTCTTGGCCTGAATATTTCCAGGCCAGATAGTATGTTTCTTGATGGTATACTGCATTTTCTTGGTTATAGTGTGACAGTATTTTACACTCTATAGCGAAATTCGGTACTTTTTTACCACAGTAAATGATTATGCTCGATGTTGATGTGGCGGTGTTAAATTGGATATTTGTGCTGTTTTGGCATGATTAGAATTTTGGTGAAGATTTCAGACCAGAAAAATGGATTTTCTCTTGCTAAAAGCTCTTCCTTGATAATATTACGGAAACAGCTCACTTTTCTCTAGAATTTGCACTAAATAGAATATCCCTGTTCATAATATTTCGTGTTACTCTCTTCACTATACGTTACAAAACTTGTGATATATATATATATATATATATATATATATATATAGTATAGTATAGTTCATAGTATACATGGGCATAAAGAACAGAGAGAGACAACACTTAGTAATAAGGTCTAAAACTGAAAAATATTATCTATTTATGTTAATATATTTTATTTAAATTATATTTTTATTATACAATCTTATTATAAAAATTCATCTAACACCAGGCGGGTCCATCCTATTATATACTATAGATACTAAAGTGAATGTCTGATTTTAAACTCTTTCCATATGTGGGCAGTTCCAAAGAAGGTACTTCATGAATGTTGGGGTTTTAGGGATTCACTTAATTATTATTAATATCTGTAGACTAATTTTATTAATAATTTAATATTATTTTATTTATTTGCTGATAGCATGATAAACTTAAAATATATACCTTATCTAAACACCAGATTTATATTTTTGGACTCTTTTCCTAATTTAATTAATCCACACTTTT